CCACCCTCACTCTCATGTCTTGATCACACTGTGCTCATTTTTGCCTCCACAGTTGAAGCAGCAAAAACAGTTTGGGAAAAGAGTAAGGACCTAAAGAAGGAAAAATCCTGAGAAGTTTGAGGAATTAAAAGCAAACCATCTGGGTGGGACATACTAAGAAAGAATTTGGCTCCCCATTTCCAGTAGAATACACTCACATCCTTATCAAGAGCCCTCACATTCCACCATTTCCTTTAGAATATGTTTTTGAATTTGTAACCCACACTTGGACCACATCAGACCACACTTCTTCTATCTCCCTACCATTGGGCATGCTGCTATTTCTACTTAAAATGCTATTTTTCTGAAGCTATTTTCAGATCCCATCAGACCCAATTTATCTCTCCATTTTTTGTGACTCCTGAGCATTTTGTTTACAACTCTTTCACTATATTTCTAAGACTAGATAAATGTGTTGACTTAATGTGTTGTATGAGTTTTCATAATCAAGTTATGTTATATCATTTTTAGCTACATTATCCTAGATTATTAGTATTAAATTACAAGGTATATGTTCTAGAACAATAAACTTATAACCATTTTTCTGTAGAAAACCTAAATTAAAAAAATTCTTTGAAGATCATTTAGAAGGCAGGGTTCAGTGGCTCATATCTGTAATCCCAGCTACTTAGGAGGTGGAGATCAGGAGGATCAAGGTTCAAGGTCGGGAGGGGTCGGGAGGAATGTGGACAAAAAGTTAGCAAGCCCCTTTCTTAGTAAGTTGGGTATGGTGATGCATGCCTGTGATCCCAGTTTCTTGGAGGGCATAGGTAGGAGAATTGTTCTCTGAGGCTGGCCCTGGGCAAAAAAAAAAAAAAATGGAGGTCCTACCTGAAAAATAACTAAAGCAAAAAAAGCTGGGGTGTGGCTCAAGTGGTAGAGCACCTGCCAAGCAAGTGTTAGGACCTGAATTCAAACTCCAGTACAACAATAACAAAAAAAGATCATTTAGAAGGAAATACAGTTCTCCTAATTATTACTTAGGCATTCCTTATCATTAATTCTTCTTGCCACAGTAAAAAGTAATCAGAATATAAAGAAAGATAAGATTACCATATTGAAAATATCAGAAGAAGAGTAATTACTCTTCTACATGATAATCAGGCTGGGATAGCTCAGTGGAATAAAGTGTGTTTAGTATGCACAAGACCCTAAGTTCCATCACTAGCATCAAAATGAATAAATAAACGATAATTATTCCAGCATCAGTCCATCTAGACACATTCAGAGAATGCACTGACCTCTTTTTCCCTGAGTACCATTCGATGAAGAACCAGTGTAAAACAAGAGGAAGCATAGCCATAAATCCCAGATAGAGCCAGTCATAAAGTTCTGGAGACTCTGTGCAAGGCTGACAATATTTCTGTGCATTTGTTCTCTGTCCTCTTGGGCACACCTACAATATATAAAAGGAAGGTTTTATTTACAGATATTATTTTAGAATATTAACATCATACCAAAATCATCCTATAAGACATCCTATTTTAGTTTAAACATTTAAGTTTGTAAGTTTAGTTTTTAAAATTAAAAAAAAAAGAAAGAGGACTGGGCATGGTGGTACATGCCTGTAATACCAACTACTCAGGAAGCAGTGATCAGGAGGACTGAGGTTCAAGGTCAGCACAGGCAAAAAGTTAGTGAGACCCCCACATCAACAAACAAGCTGGTCACTGGCACATGCCTGAAATCCCAGCTATAAAGTAGGTGCAGGTAGGAGGATGGGTAGTCCAAGGCCAGCCCTAGGCAAAAAGTGTGATACCTTATCTGAAAAAAAAAAACTAAATCAAAAACAGACTGCGGGCATAGCGCAAGTCATAGAGTGCCTTCCTAGCAAGTGTGAGGCTGAGTTCAAGCCCCAGTAACCACCAAAAATTAAATAAATAACAGAGCACACATAAAATAAAATCTACACTGTATGTGCTATATCTGTAAAATGCTCATAAAAGATTCTTTTTGCTAGGTGCCAGTGACTCACTCAAGGATGGCGGCTTGAGGCCAGCCCAGGCAAATAGTTTTTGAGACCCCACCTCCAAACTAACCAGAACAAAATGGACTGGAGGTATGGCTCAAGTGGTAGAGATCCTCCTTTGCAAATGCAAAGCCCTGAGTTCAAACCCCAGTCCCACTCCTCCCCCCAAAAGATTCTTTTTTATTTAATTACTAAAATAGTTAAGTAACCTCCAATGAAAACCCTAGTTTGTAACATTATATAAAAATAATTGCAGAGAAATATTCTGGGGCTGTAATGTAACTTACTGTATAAATCACTGTACTAAATCATTTAAAAAGTAATTAGAAGTTGCTATACAAACATAAAATGCTTTCTAAAATACTTAACTGTAACTGTCAAGAACTATGTCATATATTTACATATCAATGTAACAACATAAACAAAGATATTATTAATGCCTCTATACTCTTATAAATTAATGAGTATATTTAAGAAAAAAGTTTCCATGTGAAAATATTTTGAAAGCACACAGATTTTATAAATGAAATAACATAGAACATAAAACTTACCCCACATTCGCCATAAATTTCGGTTGAGCCATTTTTAAACAATAAGGTCTTCCCACAGTAAAGTCCAAGGCATGCTGGTTGAATATCGACAGCTTTTTAAAAACAAACGCCAGTAAAGTAACATCTTTTGTGATTATAAAAAAAAACATGATAATAGCTGAAGCACTTGGCAGAAATGTCTCAACACAGTTTCGATTTTTAAAATGACAAATGTACTAAATAAAGGTCTTGATGGATTTAGTTTTAAATTCCTCCTTGTATACCATGACGCTCGAACCTTGCCTATGATTAAGGTCCTCAACCAGAAAGCAGGTTCTTTCCCCAAAACTAACAGCCTAACCTAGCAAGTCTCCAATGACTCCAGAAAGCCTCCTCCCTCTTGATTAGATTTGAATTTCTTTGATTATAAAGATCAAAAGTACTTTTTAAACAATAAGAGCACTAATAGAAGGCCATCACTTTTTATTTTGCCCAGTGAGACTATTAGGCACACAAGCACAATCACCTTTACTTAGAACAGAACACAATAACAACCAAAAAGCTGAAAGGATGTAACTTTAGGATAGGAGCCAGGTTTTTAGAGTAAAGAAAAGCACTTCTATAAAAGCACTGTTCTAAGGGCTGGGGGTGTAGCTCAAGTAGTAGAGCACCTGCCTAGCAAATGTGAGGCCCTGAGTTCAAATTCCAGTACTGCAAAAAAAAAAAAACCCAAAAATACATAAAAGCACTGTTGTAGAGTTTATCATTTTTGTTGAGGACAGGTGGAAATTTTATAAAGGCTGTAGTAGGCACTAATCATATTTGGGAACCACTGCCTTAGAATCAATTCCCTGATCTCAATGTTTGGGGAAAATTGAAGACAGCTCTTCTTTACAAAAAAAAAAAAGTCCTCAGGACCTAAATATTATCTTAGCCTTCATCCACAAGGAGAAATTATTAATTTTTTTCATCAGTGACATGATTCCCTTCATGCATTGATCATTCATTCAATAAACATGTGTTGAGTGTCAAATTCCACTGATTAAGGGTCACTAAAGGTCCATATACACAGAAATATGAGTTTCTGACCTCTAAGAACCTGCAGTCGAATGTGGAATGAATTCAAAATATTGAGATCTAAGTGTTAATTAATTTGGAAAATTATGCACTTTATGACTATTCTTGAACAATTTTTTTCCCAAATTCTTCATGAATTCATGATCTAGAGACTGCCTGGTCTACAGGCGGGCCCTTTTTCCTTTCAAATTCCAGTAGACTTGATTTCTTTCTCCTTCTGCTGCTGAGAAAACAAAAAGCATTGACTAAAATGCTCATTATCAAATATCTGACTTACTCTTTTAAACCCACGGGCTTCTTTACGTTGGCACCTATGTTTTAAACAACTGTAATCTCAATGACCTAAACACATAAAAATGAGTTGTTTCAGATTTTCTGAGACGGCAGAAGTTAAAGCATTGGAAGCTTCTTCTGTGCAGGCTTTACACCTGAAGTTTCTCAAAATCCAAGACTGAAAACCAGTACAATAAATCGAAAGCCAGAGCTCATCACTTATCAAACAAAACCCTGGCTCCAAAGGGTCTGTTCAATCTTCCGTCATTTTCTTTACTGAATTAGGGCTAAAAGTTTAAGACTCCCTTTGCAACGGTCTTGCCTCTTTGTTTAGGACCCTATAAACTTCCTTTGATGTTTAAGCAGACGACAATAAGCTATACAACAATTAGCTTCCTTCATTGTTTTTCTGCACTGACACTCACGCTTTTAATGCTAACGTCAACCATTAAGAACGCGTTCCCGCCTCATTAGACAATGGGACGAAGTGACATTTCCAACAGAACAACAACAAAGGCTGGGCCTTTCCCCTGACACTCGGCCCGCTCCCCTCTGCAGCGGGTCAGGAGCAGCGGACTCCGGGAGGAATATGGGGCGAGCCCCACCACGGTGCCGCCGGGAAGCCAAGGCCGGAGCCGACAGCGAAGGGGAGAAGCTGGACTCCGACGCTTCCGGGGGCTCGGCGACCACTCACCCATTGGCGGCTCCTAGATTTCTCGCAGAAAGCTCTGGAATCAGCGGGTCTGACAGCAGCCCCCGCACATCCGGGCCACAGAGACCTCTTCGGCTCCGCCTCCCGGTAACCCCGGGCGACCGCTTTGAAGCCCCGTCCCCACTTCCTAGCCTAGGCTCCGTAGCTCCGCCCCCGCCTCAAGGTCTAGGCTCCGAGGCCCCGCCCACTTCCTGGTCTGGCTCCGAAGCCCCGCCCTACTTCCTGGTCTAGGCTTCCAGGCCCCGCCCCCGCCTCGAGGCCCCGCCCCCGTTTCGTGGTCTCCGCCTCGAGGCCCCGCCCCTGAGTCGGCCCCAAAACCCTGCCAGTCTCCAGTGGAGTTCGGTGTAGATCTCGGACTTGGGGCGCACACTGCGGGCTGTCGGGGAGTCACTGAACGCAGACAATGGAGAGTGCGCTGGCTGTGCCCCGGCTGCCCCCACACGACCCCAGGACGCCGGCGCTGTCGGTGGTGGACATGCACACGGGCGGCGAGCCCCTGCGCATTGTGCTGGCCGGGTGTCCGGAGGTGGTCGGGCCCACACTGCTGGCTAAACGGCGCTACATGCGTCAACACCTTGATCATGTGCGGAGACGGCTTATGTTCGAGCCCCGGGGCCACCGAGACATGTACGGGGCGGTCCTGGTGCCGAGCGAGCTGCCGGACGCGCACCTGGGGGTCTTATTCCTGCACAACGAAGGCTACAGCTCCATGTGCGGCCACGCGGTGCTGGCGCTAGGCCGCTTCGCTCTCGACTTCGGGCTGGTGCCCGCGCCCCCAGCCGGCTCCCGCGAGGCCCGCGTCAACATCCACTGCCCCTGCGGGCTGGTGGCCGCCTTCGTGGCGTGTGAGGGCGGCCGCAGCTGCGGCCCGGTGCGCTTCCACAGCGTCCCGGCCTTCGTGCTGGCTTCAGGTAACCTGCAGGAGCCACCCGGCCCCTGGGCGGGGGCCGCAACCGGGGATGCTTCTATGTTAACCGCCTCTGGGTGCACGCATTGCAACTAACCCACCCCGCAATGCCCTCGCAATTGATAAAAAGGTAATCCCAAATCACTGCACATAATGTGTAAGCATTTTATCCTTGCAGATTTTGTGCATGCAATTCAATTATCCCGCAGAGCTCTTCCTCCCCCTAAGGGCTTAGGGAGATTGAATGGTAAAGAATCCCGCGTTTCCCTTACTCAGCACCTTCTTTGCACCGGTCAGGCATTCCTAGAGATTTCACAGTGCAATAAAACAAGGTATGCTAGGGTCAAGAAAAGCGTAAGGACAGCCAGTGTACCAGAGTTGCAGGCGGGCTTAGAATATGCTTGGGGCTCCCTGGTGTTTACCACAGGCTGTGTTCTTACACTGACTATATAGAAAGACGAAACAAAGTAACCCTAACCTATATACACCTCAGTCCAGGCCCTGCGCTGGTCTGTGTCGTGAATGGGGAAATAGAGGGCGACGAGGAGAAGGGGTATATGCTTGGCAAATACAGGAGACTAAACATGGTCTCCTTTTTCTTATCTGTTAAAAATGACTTCCCTCCGGATTAGCGACTCCAGAGTAGCCTGAATTAGAATTCAAATTCATTGAATTCTGATTCAATTAGAAACAATGTAATAAAGCAGGCGTGTGTCCATCTTAGAGCAACCTGAGGCAGCTGAAACACAAATTGAAGTATGTGTCTGGGGAAATTGATGCTGCTTTCCCCTTTAGGAGGGGATGGTGTCACATCCAGGTTGGTGCTTGAGGGAGAGCATTTATTTTCACGATTGCATCTTAAAAAAAAAAAAACTTAGTGGTTTAGCTAGTGAGGCTATCTAGTTTCCCCTTGCGCAACATTAGCAGCTAGATTTTGTGGGACTTAACACCTGGCAGGAGGATCACCAATTGCTTCCTAGTCTTGAGTGAGACAGTGCTGGGACAGCCAACCCCTCAGGAACCGTAGTTCCTGAGAACATTGCTGTGTGACAGCACAGTAAGTAGTAGGCATGAATTGTCACTTTGAGGTTTTAAGAAAATGAAGCCTTGTTGCTCTTATTTTGAAAACTGCTGTGCCAAGAAGGCAGACGACAGTGTTCAAGATCACTGCTCTGTCCCTCCCCATCTCAGTGACCTTCTGAAGGAAAGTGCATGTCTCCATGTCACAATTTGTAAACTGAGGGTGACACCAGTGCCTACCTGAGAGGGTTTCAGAGTTCATTTCTACCCCACCATGTTACAATGCAACTTCTTTGTTCCTAGAACAGTGGTAGTTAAAGAATAGTTGTTGAATGAGTAAATAAATGAAATGTGGAGAATCTACTGACTGGCAAATGTAGACATCTGGTCCTCTTGAGAACCCTATTCTCACTGGAAATTAAACTTGGGCTTTACTATTGTCATTTAGTACAGCCCTAATCTGTGCCAGGCTCTCCCTTACACGCTATCACATGGAATTCTCAAAACAACTCTTTTAGAGGAAATAGCAATTCCATTTTATACATAAGGACACAGAAGCCATACTAAGGGGCAAAACCAGGTTTTGAACTCAGGCCTATCAGATTGCCGTCTTTCATCCTTAACATTTTTTGTAGTTTAAGGAGATATATGTGAATTGTTTTTGAAAAACTAATTTATTATACCTAATTCATACAAATGGCATATGTACTCACTAAATCTCATGAACAGTAAATTAAAAGTTTAATGATTAGCTTGTATAGAAGAAAAGAAAAAACTTAGAATTTGGGTTGAGTTCTAAGTACAGGTTGCATATTTCAATGGAAAGGGTTTGGGTTTTGGAGCCACCTGCTCCTGAGTTTGACTCCAAAGTCTGCTACATATTTGTGCGTAGCTGAGAATAATGTGAGGATAGTTTAAAAATATATGGATAGTACCTACCACTTAGGGCTATAGTAATTAAGGAGCTTGTGTATGTAACATACCTGGCACATAGGATGTACTCATGTGTGGAACTATATTTTCAATGTTAGTAATTTAAGTGATTAAAAAATAAAAGTCATGAGAAATGAATGAACAGAAGTAACTTAAAGGCTCATCTGGTCCATTCTGAAGAAAAGGAAAATAAAACTCATGGAGGTGTAGCTAGAATCCTAATCAACTGCCCATCCAAAGAAAACCAGAGCCAAGATTTTAGAAAGGGTGGAATAAGAAAGTGATTGGAGACTCAGTGCTCCCTTCACTTGATCTAGCTGCCCCACTCAGCCTGACCCATGACTGGTGGCCAATATCCTGTTTAAGTAGCACCATTGACCATCACCCATGTCCTCTGATAGGTGTGGATATTTATGTCCTCCACCATTTGGCCTTAGGTTTCCCCATTCCAGCAGTCCTTCACTTCCCTCACCTTTCTCATCTTCCTTCCCCTGTCCCCACTCCTGTTCTTTTTTGGAAGTACTGGGGTCTGAACTCACGGTCTTGACTTGCTAGGCAGGTGCTCTACCACTTCACTCACAGCTCCAACCCTTTTCACTTTAGTTATTTTTGAAATAGATTCTGGCATTTATATTTATCTTAGCCTGGATCACGATCCTCCTACTTGCATTTCTGGCTTAGCTGAGATAACAGGTGCCTGCTACCCCAGCTTTTTTTTTTTAATTTTTATTTTATTCATATGTGCATACAAAGTTTGGGTCATTTCTACCCCATTCCCCTCCCTTATCCCCCCCCACTGTCCCTCCCTTACCCCCCCCCCTTACCTCTCCTCTCACTACCAGGCAGAAACTATTTTGCCCTCATCTCTAATTTTGTTGAAGAGAGAGTATAAGCAATAATAGGAAGGAACAAGGGTTTTTGCTGGTTGAGATAAGGATAGCTATACAGGGAGTTGACTCGCATTGCTTTCTTGTACGTGTATGTTACCTTCTAAGTTAATTCTTCTCGAACTAACCTTTTCTCTAGTTCCTGGTCCCCTTCTCCTATTGGCTGGCCTCAGTTGCTTTAAAGTATCTGCTTTAGTTTCTCTGCATTGAGGGCAACAAATGCTATCTAGTTTTTTGGGTGTCTTACCTATCCTCATACCTCCCTTGTGTGCTCTCGCTTTATCATGTGATCAAAGTAATCCCCTTGTTGTGTTTACCCTTGAACTAATGTCCACATATGAGGGAGAACATACGATTTTTGGTCTTTTGGGCCAGGCTAACCTCATTCAGAATAATGTTCTCCAATTCCATCCATTTACCAGCGAATGATAACATTTCGTTCTTCTTCATGGCTGCATAAAATTCCATTGTGTATAGATACCACATTTTCTTAATCCATTCGTCAGTGCTGGGCATCTTGGCTGTTTCCATAACTTGGCTATTGTGAATAGTGCCGCAATAAACATGGGTGTGCAGGTGCCTCTGGAGTAACAGTCTTTTGGGTATATCCCCAAGAGCGGTATTGCTGGATCAAATGGTAGATCAATGTTTAGCTTTTTAAGTAGCCTCCAAATTTTTTTCCAGAGTGGTTGTACTAGTTTACATTCCCACCAGCAGTGTAAGAGGGTTCCTTTTTCCCTGCATCCTCGCCAACACCTTTGTTAGTGGTGTTGCTAATGATGGCTATTCTAACAGGGGTGAGGTGGAATCTTAGTGTGGTTTTCATTTGCATTTCCTTTATTGCTAGAGATGGTGAGCATTTTTCATGTGTTTTTTGGCCATTTGAATTTCTTCTTTTGAGAAATTTCTGTTTAGTTCACTTGCCCATTTCTTTACTGGTTCATTAATTTTGGGAGAATTTAGTTTTTTGAGTTCCCTAGATATTCTGGTTATCAGTCCTTTGTCTAATGTGTAGCTGGCAAATATTTTCTCCCACTCTGTGGGTAGTCTCTTCAGTTTAGAGACCATTTCTTTTGTTGAGCAGAAGCTTTGTAGTTTTATGAAGTCCCATTTATCTATGCTATCACTTAGTTGCTGTGCTGCTGGGGTTCCATTGAGAAAGTTCTTGCCTATACCTATTAATTCCAGAGTATTTCCTACTCTTTCCTGTACCAACTTTAGAGTTTGGGGTCTGATATTAAGATCCTTGATCCATTTTGAGTTAATATTGGTATAGGGTGATATACCTGGATCTAGTTTCAGTTTTTTGCAGACTGCTAACCAGTTTTTCCCAGCAGTTTTTGTTGAAGAGGCTGCTTTTTCTCCATCGTATATTTTTAGCGCCTTTGTCAAAGACAAGTTGGTTATAGTTGTGTGGCTTCATATCTGGGTCCTCTATTCTGTTCCACTGGTCTTCATGTCTGTTTTTGTGCCAGTACCATGCTGTTTTTATCATTATTGCTTTGTAATATAGTTTGAAGTCAGGTATCGTGATACCTCCAGTATTGTTCTTTTGACTGAGTATTGCCTTGGCTATTTGTGGCCTCTTGTGTTTCCATATAAATTTAACAGTAGATTTTTCAATCTCTTTAATGAATGTCATTTGAATTTTGGTGGGAATTGCATTAAACATGTGGATTACTTTTGGGAGTATAGACATTTTTTACTATGTTGAATCTACCAATCCATGAGCATACTCCCAGCTTTTTTCGTTGAAATGGGGTCTCATTAACTTTTTCCAAGGCTAACCTCAGATCACAGTCCTCCCAATCTCCCTCTTCCAAGTAGCGGGATTACAGACGAGCCACCATGCCATGCCTTCATGTATCTTTCATTCGACCCACTTTTTGTGTCAAGACGAAGACATTGTTGGTCAGTGTTGCTGTAAGGTGCACAGGCGTGTTTCACTGCTTGACTCTAAGCTGCTCTATTCGGACACACCACGTGTTAAAAGGGCTTTTGTGGACACTTCTGTAACTCATGACTCACTGGTGTGTTGGTATGACTACGTGAGAAAATTCGGATGTACAAGAAACATTTTCTTTCTCACAAATTAATTGAAATTGAGACACCACTCCATCCTGTTGGATGACTTAGCTTCATCGTTCTATGTGCTGTCCCCTCTCCTGATATATGTGTGAACTAAGGTTTCTTCTATGTGCCGGTGCCTTGGAGAAGAATGCTCTTTGGCCTCAGCTTGAGCAGTTGGAAGCCTGTCAGCTTACCTCATGTTACCCTGCCCTCTTTTCCTGCCTCCCTTCCTGGTTGGCTGCCTCTGCCCTACCATGTCACCCTCCCTTGGTGCTGCAGAGAAGTCAGTGCAGGTCCTCTCTGCCCTCAGGACCGTTAGCTTCCTCTCTCCCTATTCCACATGATATTTGTCAGCTGATAGAAATATTTCTCTCTCTAGGACCCTCCTTTGCCAGCAAATGTGTTTTTCCTGAGAACTTGGTTTTCCATAAATCAAACAGAAAGACTTTCTTTCCCCCTGGCCAGGTGTCCCCATTGAGGCAGTGACCATGAGACCACCTGGAATTGGGGAGAAGAGAGAAGGGAAATCATGAGAAGGGGTAAATATGTTTAATGTCCCAAAATATCACCTAACCCCAACTTGCTTTGGAAGTACATATAAAGGATTTCAAACAGGTGGCCTTTAGGTGAAACTTTAGGTATGTTAGGGACTTACAATGTTAAAAAAAAAATCCTGATGTAAAATGATACTGTATAGGTCAGCTATTCTATGATGGCTTTATTCTGAGCATTTGCCTGGAGGATGCTTTAAATGGGATTAAAAAAAAACATGTTGATAAATAAGTGTTTGTATATAATTTATGTAGAAAGTCTCTTTTAAAGTTTGTATAACTGAATAGGATTCAAATCCTTACTATTTAAAACCATCTCTAGGAATATAATCCAAGACTTACATTTTCCTTCATGGTATCCTAAAAAAGAACCTCAGACTAGTTAACAAATATGGACATGTGATTGAGGGGGAACGTAAGCATTCCAATGTTTTTTAACTTATACAGTCATTATCAAATTAAAATAGATCCATCTACGTTTACTCTGAAAATGGATTTCTGCTTCATTCCTTTTGAAGATAAGATTTCCTCCAGAACAAACATGTTTTAAAATGCTATGGGTTTTTGTTTTGCTTTGCCAAAACACTGAAAACAAACTTATTTTCAAACACATCTTTTTAGATCTCATAGTGGATGTTCCTGGACATGGAAAGGTGGTAGTGGACATTGCATATGGCGGAGCATTTTATGCACTGGTTAGTGCAGAAAAGTTAGGAGGACTTGATGTGTATTCTGCAAAGATGAGGGACCTTGTGGATGCCGCGAGTGCTGTTACAGAAGCAGTGAAAGTCCAGGTCAGTCCAGTCGCTGCCTTCATAACAAATACCTCCCTGTGTGCATGGAGAAATATAAATCACCATGTCTGTGAAGGGATTAAATATCTATACATTTAATTTTTAGTATTACCAAGAGTAGCGTACTGTTTAAATGCTTAGGCTCTACAGCAAGACTAGTGTTCTGACTTCACCACTTACCACAGTTATAACCTTGGACTAGTCCGTAACTGCCATGTTACTCAGTTTTCCTACTTATAAAATGGAAATTAGACAATCTCTGCTTTTACAGATGTTTTAAGAGTGAGGTAAGTCAATTCATGGACATAGAATATTACCTGGCCCATAATAAATGCCCAACAAGTGCAGCAATAAATGATAACTATTCACTTTTATTAAATACATACATGATCATATAGTTCACAGTTGTTTACACATACAGTAAATGTTTTGTGTAGTATTCAGTTAATTTGAAGTGCATGTGATTTGCTATATGTGTTTATTCTTTCTGCAAAACTTGAAAATAATGGCTTACAAACAGATTTTATTGAGTCTGATAAGACTCATTTTACAGAACGTTAATTTCTAATTAGTGAAAATTTCTTGTATTGGTAAGAAGCTACTCAGATAACTATTCATGTAACTAGTTTGTGCATGGAAAAAAAACTTCTGATAAAAGAGTTTAGGTAATAAATGAGTGTAGAATAACCCTTCATTTCTTGTACAAGTCTTCCATTTTACCTAGAAGTCAGAACCTATAGACAAAACACGTGGTATTTGAGTGTTTTAGCATATGAGGATTTAATTATTCATAGTAAAGCATAACTTATGAAAGATAGTATCTAATCTTCTTGCACTAATAATTGTTATGGGTTCATTTAACACTCTTGAGGCCTTAACATAATTTACAACTTGAATAATAAAATGAAAATATACTCTATGTTGTTCTAAATTATCATTTTTCTGGGACTGCCAATACCAATATGTAGAATTATTTTATCATAGCAATTTTTTTATAAATATGAGTAAATTCAGGCCTTGGTCACAGTAAAAGAAAAGAGCAGGCTTGAATTCAACTTATGTTATATTCATTTATTCACATTATCAAGACATAATGCTAGCTGTGTTTCTTATTTTTTCTTCTTCTTATTATTACATTGTACTGGGGGTACATTATGATATTTACCAAAGTTCTTACAATATGTCATAGTTGAATTCACACCTCCATCATTCTCTTTTATCCTCCCTCCCCTATTCCTGGAACAGTTTCAATAGGTCTCATTTTTTCCTTTTTCATACAATTATCTTAGCAATTTCTAAAGCTCTGAATCTACATCAGTCTTCTGTTCTATCAGGCAGATGGCTAATTGCTTAAGAATTTGGCACAAAATAATTTCAACTCATTTTAATGAAATCAAGAGAAAAAGGCATAGCTTTCTTGATAAAAAGAATAATCTTGAACTTCCCATGCAGGTGGCAGTGGCAAGGAGTGGACTTTGAGGGAGCCCAAGTTCTATTATTGACATATCAGGCAGCAGAACTACTGGTCAGTCACTGACCACTCATATTGCTGGGACAGATTTAGAGAAAGACTATTTGTGTTGGAGGAACTGAAGTTAATATAATATCAATTTATTCTTTTAACAAACATTTCCCAAGAATTTATTGCATTTCAGACACTGTGCTAGGTGCTGGCCACCCAAAGAAAGAACCAATCCCACCTCCCAGGGGCTTGATCTGGGGGCTTGGTAGGAGCCAGTGCACCTGTGAACAGTGTTGCGCTAGAGTGGAGGTGGGTACAGAGACTTTAAAAGATCCAACAGGTGGGTTTATTTAACTTGGTTTTAAATAGACTGGATTCTTAAGAACCCAAATCTGTTCAAATTTTTAAGTGGCAAGTAAGCAAGAGTAGAATGTACTAAATGTAAGAATAAGCACAGAAGATTATTATAATCTGTCATACTATCATACATTGCAGAAATTCAGCAAAAGTTAAACAGCTGGACCTCCCAAAAGACCTGACAGCACTGCACCTTTGATCCTAAGCGTGTTTTGCCATCGAGGGACTTGGCCGCTCTGCCAATGCCTGCTTCTATCTGTGTGGATCAGATGCTTTTCATGGAACCCATTGACTTCATCTTCTACAATCTTTATTTTCCATCTCATTGTTTCTCTTATCTAGTATCTTCTGAATCCTTTTAACTTTTGCTTGCTCACCCCTGTCACAGTCCTCATCTCTAGCATGGTGTCCAATTCATCTATAGATACTTACTGCTTAATTTTATACATTCTCCTCTTCAGACTCCTAAGAATGACAATATGATGGCTTTAGGTCAGCCACAGGCAACCTGTGGACTGACCGTCCTGGGGTCAGTGTTTCAGAGTATGTTTGTGTTTTGGGGTCTGTGTATAAAACGGGACTTCCTTTAGTTGAGTTTATATGCAGGGAAGTTTTCTTAGAAGGGATTCAACATGAGAAGAATTATAATTTCCAATAAAACTATGTTCACTCAGCCACAGAATGAAATAATATCTAATATTTAGTGCCTTGTCCCAAAAGATATTTCAAAAATAGTACAGATTGAAAAGTTGTGTTGGAGAGTGCTCCATGTACATTATTTATAAACATAAAATTGAATGAAAATATTTATTTTTACATATGGTTGATTCTTTTGTTGTTATTTGCAGTTTAAAATTAACCATCCTGAGAGTGAAGACCTTGCCTTTCTATATGGAACTATATTAACAGATGGAAAAGATGCTTATAGTGAGGAACCAACCACCAATATCTGTGTGTTTGCAGATGAACAGGTATGAAAACCATAACTTTTAGGCACCAATGCCAGTACTGTGGAACCAGAACACTCTGAACATTCCTATTTTCATTGATTCCCAAACAGGTTGACAGAAGTCCAACTGGCTCAGGAGTGACAGCCCGAATTGCTTTGCAGTATCATAAAGGCCTTCTGGAACTGAACCAGACCAGAACCTTTAAAAGCAGTGCCACTGGCTCTGTGTTCACAGGGAAGGCTGTGAGGGTGAGTGTCGCCTTTTCTTCTTAATTGTAAATGACATTGATAAGGCCTGAGTTGAGTGTTGAATAAGTTTCTTCTTCACTCAACTCTTAGAATTGTATTTTTCTTTTTTGGCAGTACCGTAGTTTGAACTCAGGGCCTCCCACTTGGTAGGCAGGTGATATATCACTTGAGTCATGTCCCCAGCCCTTTTTGCTTTAGTTATTTTTCAGGTAGGGTCTTGCATTTTTTGCCATGGCTGGCCTGGACCACAGTCTTCCTGCTTATGCCTATGTGTATACCACCACACCAGCTTGTTAATTGAGATGTGGTCTTCCTAACTTTTTGCCTGGGCTGGCCTCAAAACTGCAGTCCTCCCAATCTCTGCTTCCTAAGTAGCCGGAATTATAGGCACGAGCCACCACATCCGGCCTTGGAAGAGAATTTGGTTCTCAAAGTGTGGTCTTGGAACCCCTGGGGGTCCCCAAGTTGCCTTCAGTGGATCTATAAGATCAAAACTATGTCAATAATGCTAAGACAATGTTTGCTTTTCAGACTGGTTCTCTCAAGTATGTTCAGTAGAGTTCTTCCAAGGCTACATGATGGGTGATAGTGTAACTAATTGAATGCAGAAGTAAATATGACAATCTAGCTATTTTCTGTTAGTCAAACAGGAAAAAGTTTGCAAAAATGTAAAGCAATGCCACTTTCTCTTTAATTTTTTGGCAAATGTACTTATTTTCACAAAAATTTAGTTTTTATATATTAATGTGTATGTGCTTTTTAAATGAACTAATAAATAAATACCTTTAATTCTCAATGCTGTAATTTTGACAGATAAAACTTGTATAAACAAAAACTGTTTTAGGGTCCTCAAATCCTAATGTATAAAGGGAACCTAAGATCAAAATATTTGTGAACCACTAACTTATGGTTTGGGGCTTTTTTTGTTTGTTTGTTTGTTTTTTTTTTATGCTATAGGAATGCTTCATTTTAGGTAATAGGATATAAAAGCTGTGAGAAGTAGTGGAAAGTAGAATTTTTGTAATGAAATCAAAATTCAAATATGCTAACACAGCTAGTTAATCTACTCATAGTAGTAAATGAAATCTGCAGAATGATTAATCTACATTTAGAAAATTAATCTACTTGAGTCCTTTAACATATCAAACAATCTCTGTTAATGTAGTTGTTCAAAAGGCTTGGTTTTTCTGGATATTAAATGTTCTTTAAGGGATTCCCATATCAGACAGTGATCTTACAGTATACTAAACCATTTACATTGTGCACAAAAATTTGGAATACATTGTCTTCAGAATCCCAGGCTTAAGATAAAAATAAGCTGGGCATGGTAGCACCTTTCTGAAATCCTAGCCCTCAAGAGGCTAAAGCGGGAGGAGCTTGAGTTCATGATAAGTCTGGGTTACATAGCAAGTTCCAGGGCAGCCTGGGTAATAGTGAGACCCTGTCTCAAAAATAAATAAATAGAGAAATAAAAATAATAGTCTACAATATTTATTAATAATTTATGGTGTCAACGTCTAAGTTAAGAACTTTATACATACCGTCTCATTTAAACCTTGCAAGAATCCCAGGAAATCAGTACTGTTATCATCCTTTTTTAAGGAAAATGAAATGGAGAATTTGAGCTATTAGGCAATTTGCCAGAAGTTAGTCAATGGGTAGCAGAACCAGGCTACAAATATGGGCCCCTCTCAACAATCCCTCTGCTGTGAAGTACTATGTTATATTGCTACCAGACCAAGAAAAAAAGTTCAGTGAGGCTTGATATTAAACATCTTTATAAAAACACAATACAACTCTAACCTAATTTAATATTTGACATTTTACCTTTACCTTCAGTTATTCTTACTTTTTAAATTAGCATATTAAGAAACACTGCAGGTAAGATTTTCAGTTATTTATTTTACAGTTGTGCATCATGTTTGCCAGTATCTGCCCTTGTACCACACTCCTTCCCTCTGGGCTCTTCCAGAGTCTCTGATGGTGCTTCTCAGTCTCTTTCCCTGCTCCTCCTTCTGTTCCCTGGCCTTCCAATTAGTTGTCCCCAGCATTTCATCCTTAGCTTCCTTCTCATCTTATTTACAATTTGATGCCACTGGACAATTTCATCTGCTTCCTAGACTTCAGTTCTCATTTGCTGATGACTTTCAAAATGTTCATCCCTAGCATGCCTGCCCTATACCTCTGAGTCTAACACGTATTCCTAGCTGTTCACTGTTCTTATCTCTAAACTTTGTCCCCCAAGTATCTTAAACTCTACAAGTGAAAAAGTTCTTCCTCCCTCCCTCTGCCCATCCCTCCCTTCCTCCCTTCCTTCCTTCATTCCACATGCTCCTTTCTATTCCCCATCTTGATAATAGCATCAATAGCATCATTTCCAAGCTAGAAACTGTGGCCATATTTGCCTTATTCCTGATTCCTTACTTCCCACATTGTCAGTCTGGTTGTTGTACCTCCAAATTATCTGATTAGTTCTCCTTTTCCATCTTCACTTCATTTTCATCCCTCAACAGGTTTCTGGGCTTCCAGTCTATCTCCTTTCCAGCGTGCTCCCCATATCTAAAGCACATCTGTCAGTCTCCTTATCCTTGACCTTAGGATTAACTCTTGAGTTTTTCTTGGCATGGTAGGAACCAGGAGTACAACGTTTAGACCAGATATAATATGAGTGCAACATTTTGATAGTATGCTCCTTTTGTCTTCTTTCTTCAGGAAGCAAAGTGTGGTGATTTAAAGGCTGTTATAGTGGAAGTATCAGGACAAGCCCATTACACAGGGGCAGCAAGCCTGACAGTAGAAGATGATGACCCACTGAGGGATGGGTTTCTTCTCAAGTGACCTCTTCCCTGAATTTCAAGGGCTTTTCTTCTAAAGTAATTACTATCTATAAATAATGCTTTCTCTTAATTATGTGCAAACCAGTATTCACTTATACATTAAGTTAATCTCCATTCTTTCTAAAATAGTATACTGTGCTTCAACAGAGAGTCACTATACCTCAGATTTTCAAAGGTATTTGGGGATAAGTATCATGTCTTAGCATTCAAAGTGCTGAAAATTCAGAAACTTTTCCTACTCACTAACAAACACTTCAGGTAAAATTAAAACCTTAGTTACTTTAAAAATACTACTCTAATAATGACTACAGTATTTTGTTTTAAAGACTCTTTTGAATGATATATGGAATTATAACCTTCACAATGAATGAACTTTACAAGTTTGTTATTTTAATATCCAATTTGAATAAAAGAATGTACTCTATAACCATGTAAAGAAGATGGCACTTCTTAACGCTTAGACACAGAGCCTGGGAAAGATAGGCACAATCAGCTTCTTAGAACAGGAGCTGTTATAGTTGTTGCTGGGGTGTCCTCTGAGCTACAAAGCCCAGCTCGTCTACCCACTGGTACCCAATTGCCATAAAGAGATGCTGCAAAGACCAGTTGGTAATCAGACTTCTGCTGTCTCTTTTGCTCTGTGTGTGTGTGTGTGTGTGCGTGTGTGTGTGCATGCGTGTGTGCTAGGCATCGAACCCAGGGCCCTGTCCATGCTAAACACACACTCTCACTGGTGTGCCCCCAGTTTTTTATGCCATTTATAAAAGGGATTGCATACTACATTATTTGAAATAAAAGTATATAGTAGACATTAATTAATAAATCATTACAATAAAATGAGTCTTGTGCTCTTATCAACTGCATGCTAGGTAGATTTAAAACATGAATAAATGTTTACTATGGCATTCAGATAAGTATACTTACTACTTATCTGTGAGTCTATGAAAATCATAAGTTGAAACATTAAGATATTCTCTTTTAACGTGATGCCTTCGGAGAATTCAGTAGACTCTTTTATTAGATAACTAATAATGTTTTATTTTTCAGCATACAAAAAAACTGAGTTAATTAGTTCATTTTAACTGGCTTTATCACCCAGCAAGTGGGTATCAGCCATTTGGTAGGTCTGTGATTTAATTACCTGACTGAAAGAAAAACTAGAAAGTTAATACTTTTTTATTTCCCTACTATAAAAAAAAAATTGAGGTGTTATTCTCACAAGGCAGACTCTCTACTTAGAGGGCAGCCCAAGCTCTTCTTCCCTGTGTAAAGTGCCCCTCTTCTCATACGCCCTAATTTGACAATTGTGGCACCACATCTATCATGCTAGGAACTGGGTTCTTATACACATCTTCCATCCTGTCTATTTGTGCGTATGAGGAAGGTGTCTGTAATGTGGCCAGCATCATTCTTTTTCCCTTTATCAATAACATTCTCCTTTTCTTTGGGAAACTCCATCCCTACATGTGAGCTCTCTGGGACTTGCAGAAAACCAGCACACCACTCAGATCCTCTCCCCAGGACCTGGGATCTTGAGAAAGGATATAAAAGTCTGAAAATTAAAACTGAAAGATGATGGTGCCCTGAAGAGACCCTCTTCAGTTACAGATTTTTCTTGCTCCTGAGGCTGGCTGTTTTGTAGCTTGAATTTCCTCTATCCCTTCCAGAGATTTCCTCTCTTACTTATGTAAGCCACTGTCCTCACTGTGTTGCTTATATCTAAAGAACCCTAATCCATACACTGCCTCCCTAAAATCTCTTCTCTTTCATTCTAAGTGCTTGCCTCAAACTCTTATTTCTCACTTGGGCTATTGCAATGCTTTTTCTTAACTGGTCTCCCAGCTGCAAGATTCTCCTCCTATACTCAGTAAGAAAAATTTTGTTTGTACATCAGCAGTTTGTATATGGAGCAGTTAAGAATGCAGTGCTGGGGATCTAATAAAAAACCAAATGTGGGAGGCAGGTAATACTTGGTTAATCACAAAAACATAATTATAGAGTGACTATATAATTATAGAGTGATTCCATACAATCTAGAGTTATATGGAAAATACAACCTGTGAAACTAACAGGAATATGATCCAATATACAGAGGGGGTTGTCAGCCAAGCAAGACCTCCCCTAAGGAAATAACCTTCTTGTGGAGATGGAGACGTTAGGGAATGGAGGGGATAGCAAATGCCATACAATGGGAAGCTTAAGGAAGTCACAAAATGTCACTGTGACTAGAATGAAGAAAAAAAATGATTCCAAATGAGACCAGAGAGGATGCAGAGGTCAAATCGTGTGTTGACTTATAGGAATTACTAAGTATTAGAGTCCTTACTCTAAATAATTAACACCACCAAATTTGTTATTGATGTTTCTCAAAGAGTACTCTGCCTATAGTTCGGAGTAGAGGAAAATTGAGGAGATCAGTTAGGAGATGATAGCAGTAGTTCAAGGAAGGTGGAATGAGGTCTAAAGTTCACGTAGTTGACAAAGTGATGGAGAAAGCAAATGCACACAAGGATACCCAGCAAGTAAAATCCCAGGTCCTGGTGATGGATTGGTCATGGGCTGATGGTAAGGAGGAGAGGTTTATCAAGAATGAATCCTGTTTTGGTCTTGTAAACTTGATGGATGATGGTGCTATCTTCTGAGATAGAGAATATTAAGGACCAAGGTTTTCAAGGGACGTGGGAAGAAGCTCATGAATTCCATTTTGGTCATGTTGAGTTTGAGGTGCTTTTGCACATTAAGTAGCAAGTATATCAGATATAATTTGGAGTTACATAGTCTTCCAAGCTTTGGTTGTGAAATGAGGAAGTTCAGCTGACTTGAAGACTGGGCCTTGATGGACTATGAAGAATTAGCAGAGGAAGGGACACTGAGGCAAACCAGGAAAGAAGAGAACTAGGAGAGTATGAGGTCACTCTTGTCTTTGTGAACTATCTACCTGGTCATGGTCCTCCCTTGACTAAACTTGAACTAGCAGTGATGTTACCCTTTCCTTGCCTGATAAAGTGCAATCCCTGCAGCATAGCACACAAAACCTTTCATAACAGTGTGAGGGAAGTAATGACAGAGGTGACTTCATTTTGGATGAGGGAGACATTTTAGAAGCAGGCATTTGAGTGGACATGAGAAACAACAGGCTTCTCAGAGAAGCAACAGGCCCCTTACCAAGGCAACAGAATGCAGGTGCAAAGGCCAGGACAGGCTGACCAGACCTTCCCAGAATGTTCTGTTCAATAAGACTGGGGACAGGCAGGTGGCTGGGTTCAGTGAGAAGTTAACTAGATATCAACAAATCACAAATCTAGTTTCAAATAGAATCACTGGACCTAAGCGAGGCAGAGCCCTATAGACTGTAGCTATACTGCATGTAGCTTTTCCTAAGTCCCTCCCTGTTTGGGGGAGCTTTAGTGTGCTTTCAATAAACCTGCCTTACTCTTAACCCCTGGTTCTGCAGTTTTGATCATTGACTTCACACAGATGCGAAATCAGGATCAGCAATCCAGTATAAAGAGGATTTTCACTCCCCATCCCTGTGTATCTTAAGATTTAGATACTACTCACTTCATCACTAACCTTTGGAGTTCACACATGTATCACTTCATTTTTTTAGGAGAGTCTAACGTCACCTCTATACAAAGTCTACTCTGGGAAGAGTTAGTCACCTCCACATAATTTCACTCATATTTAACACCACTTATCACCCTACAATATATTTGTGTTGGCCTGAGATTGTAAGCCTCTCTGGGGTAGGATCCTTATTTGTTGTTTCCTAAAACTAAGCATAATGTCTAAAGACTGTGCTTTGCCAAATAAATGAAACTATAATAATTACGTTTTTTGTCTCAATTCTCAGCCAGGGTTGATTTTGTCCTAACGGAGAATTTGGCAATTTTTTTTTTTTTTTTTTTTGTCACAGTTGGGAGAGATGCTCCTGGTTTGGGTAGAGACTAGGAATGCTGCTAAACATCCTGGTGCATAGGACAGTCCCCACTACAAAGAATCAATTCATTGATCCAAAATGTCAATGTTGTTGAGGCTAAGGAAGCCAAACTTAGTTTACACCACCTTAAATGTATTTCTATTTAGACTCTTAAGTTTCCAATAGGACATTTCACTTCACTGAAACAAGCTTTCAAAACATTAATATCTTGGACTCATACCTACAAGTGTGCCAGTCATTCCTCAGAGCAGTGTTTTTCAAACTTGACTATGCATCAGCATCATGTGGAGGGCTTATTACAAGAAGCTGGATGCTTCTGCCAGTGTCAGATTCAGGAGATCTTAGTGGGGCCTGAGAATTTGCATTTCTGAAGGTTTCTAGTAATGCTGGTGCTGCTGTCCAGGGCCCACACTTTGGAAACCATTCCTTTAAAGGCTGAGGGCTCAGTCACACTTTTTCCCTCCAAGCCCATGCCCAGATCCACTTTCTCCAGGCAGCCACTTGTCCTTCCTGTTCCTGTGTCTCTCAGCTGGGTATCTGGTGCTGCATCTGTATGACTGCCTGGCTGGGCAGCACCTTAGACTCAGCACACCTGTACATTCCAGAGACCAATGGAAGGATGGCAGCAGGTTAAGGAACCAATGCCTCTCTTCCCCTCTCTTCAAAATTAAGTAGCTATGGTCCTGAGATCCAGATGGTTGGAAACGAAATGACATTTTACCTTCAAGATCCACGTCCTAGCTCCTTGGAGCACCTGTTTCAGAACCAGAAACAGCTTAGATTCCAGGAGCCCATTCTCCGGAATGCTGGAGTCAGCCAGGGAATCTGTATTTTAAAAAGCTTGCTTGTTCTCAAAGTGTGGTCCTTGGACCAGCCTGGTTGCCACTACCTCATGCAAAAATCTTGGACCATACTCCAGACCCACATAATCTGAAACCAGGATTGAGGCCTAGTCACTTGTATTTTAATATGCCCTCTAGGCGATTCCGTTGCATGGTCAAGTTCCAGAAAGACTAGCTTACACTATTCTGCTCCTTAAGTTTAAGATCTCTGGAAGTGGATTGTTTTCCACTTCAGGTTCTAAATTCCTTTCCTACAAAAGCCCCTCAAAAGGCCATCTGTATCCAGCAGGAAAGAGGCAGACTGAGCCCTTGTTGAGTCTGCTCATTTGTATCCGGGCCAGTCCTCGATTTCTCTGACCTGGCAGCTTTGGCAGGCACTCTGAGACGCAGACCCCCAGCTGGGTAACCTCGGTGTTGGAGTGGAGTTAAGAGGCGGTGTCGCTGGCCGGCTTTTCTGGGGGTACCGGGCTGGCGTCCCGCCCCGCGCTCCTGCGTAAACACGCGGTTCCCTCGGCAACGCCAGGAACCCACGTCAAAGGCTCCGCCGGGTCCCCGGCGACAGCCACCCCTCCGGCCGAGCCCGACTCCCCGCAGCGGCCGCCAGCCCGAATCACCGCCTCCCGGGGCGGGATGAACAGACCCGCGGCCGCCGCAGGGCCCCATGGAGGAGCAGCCGCGGCCGCCTCCGGCCCGTCCACCAGTGAGCATGGCCTTGGCCTTGCGGGGCAGCCCGCACCCCGGCGCCCCCTCCGCAGCCGGCTCGCCTGGAGGGACTTCCTCTGCGGCGACCGCGGCCGTGCTCGCCTTCAGCACGGTGGCGACCGCGGCGGCCGCGGCGCTGGGGAACCAGAGCGACGCGAGCGGGGGCGGCAGCACCGTCGCGCCGGGAGGCGGCGGCCCCGGCGGGCCAGGGGCTGCGCGGGCGGCGGGGGCGGCGGGGAGGCCGGCGCTGGGCCCCGAGGCGGCTCCGGTGCTGTCGCACGGGGCAGCGGTGGCGGCCCAGGCGCTCGTCCTCCTGCTCATCTTCCTGCTGTCTAGCCTGGGCAACTGCGCGGTGATGGGAGTGATCGTGAAACACCGGCAGCTTCGCACCGTCACCAACGCCTTCATCCTGTCCCTGTCCCTGTCGGATCTGCTCACGGCGCTGCTCTGCCTACCCGCCGCCTTCTTGGACCTCTTCACGCCTCCCGGGGGCTCGGCACCTGCCACCGCCACCGCCACCGCCACCACCGCGGGGCCCTGGCGCGGCTTCTGCGCCGCCAGCCGCTTCTTCAGCTCGTGCTTCGGCATCGTGTCCACGTTCAGCGTGGCCCTGATCTCGCTGGACCGCTACTGCGCCATCGTGCGGCCACCCCGCGACAAGATTGGCCGCCGCCGCGCGCTGCAGCTGCTGGCCGGTGCCTGGCTGGCCGCTCTGGGCTTCTCCCTGCCCTGGGAGCTACTCGGGGCGCCCCGGGAGCCCCCCGCAGCGCAGAGCTTCCACGGCTGCCTTTACCGGACTTCCCCCGACCCCGCCCAGCTGGGTGCCGCCTACAGCGTGGGGCTGGTGGTGACCTGCTACCTGCTGCCCTTCCTGCTCATGTGCTTCTGCCACTACCACATTTGCAGGACCGTGCGCCTGTCGGACGTGCGCGTGCGGCCGGTGACCACCTACGCGCGCGTGCTGCGCTTCTTCAGCGAGGTGCGCACCGCCACCACCGTGCTTGTCATGATCGTCTTTGTCATCTGCTGCTGGGGTCCCTACTGCTTCTTGGTGCTGCTGGCCGCGACCCGGCAGGCCCACGCCACGCAGGCCCCGTCGCTGGTCAACGTGGTGGCTGTCTGGCTGACCTGGGCCAATGGGGCCATCAACCCCGTCATCTATGCCATCCGCAACCCTAACATTTCGATGCTCCTAGGGCGCAACCGAGAGGAGGGGTACCGGACTAGGAATGTGGACGCTTTTCTGCCCAGCCAGGGCCCAGGTCTGCAGGCCAGGAGCCGCAGTCGCCTTCGAAACCGCTATATCAACCGGCTGGGGACTTGCAGCAGGATGTCCTCTTCCAACCCGGCCAGCTGGGCGGGAGGGGACATGGCCATGTGGGCCCGCAAAAACCCAGTCGTGCTTTTCTGCCGGGAGGGACCGCCAGAACCTGTGACAGCAATGGCCAAACAGCCTAAATCTGAAGCGGGGGACACTAGCCTCTAAGAAGGGTTAGGATGGATAGTGTGTGAGGCCAAATCTCCACCCACTTCATTTAATGATGCGGAATTCCGGGGAGAATCGTGGATTTCATAAAGTCAAACGTTTAAAACTAAAGAGACAGGGAGGGTTACCACTTCCCCAAACAACATAAAAGACAAGGTCCCCTTCTTCAAAAGTGCCAAAAGGAATGTAAAACGCAAAAATTAAAACAATCTTAAGCCACACAACCAGGCATTGTAAACTGTAAGTGCCAAAAAACGACAAAAATAAAATTCAAACTTACTGAAAAGCTCATATTACAGGAATCACACTGTGAAACAAACAAAAACCACGGAATGCAACCGGTTGAGTTTCTGGAATGACTGGAGACCCTCGGAGCTGCTTGAAGGCCCCTCTAAATCACCAGCATTCAACAAAACTTCAGATTCTAGAACATGCACCTCTAACACATACTCTGAGGGTGCCATAGGTTTGGGAGCAAAGAATTCTTTTCCTTACCCAGACTGGTGCAAGTCTCCTCTGTTCTTGTAGTCTTCAGTGAGAAATTTTAAATTCAGATTCTAACCATTCTAGGGTTTTTGAAAGGTGGTTTATTACTAGATAAATTTCATCCATCTAAAGGGCAAATAGAAGTGTGAATGTAAAGAAATGTGGCCGTTTAAAAACGTGTTACAAAATTACACTTAAAAATGTCAACCAGGAGCCCATGATGGGCCTGTAATCCTACCTATTAGAGAGGCAGAGACTAGAAGGATGGAGGCTTGTGGCCAACCTAGGCAAAAAAAAAAAAAAAAAAAAAGTGAACCCTATCTCAAAAATACTCAATACCAAAAGAGGTCTGGTGGAGTGGCTTAAGTGGTAAAGCACCTGCTTAGCAAGTGCAAAGCTGAGTTCAAACTCCAGTGGTGCCAAAATAATAGTAATAATAATTAATAATAATAATAATAATAATAATAAATGTCCCTCTACCCCCAGTCTATGCCCAAAATTATCTGCCTTGAGAAATTTGGAGGCTTTACCTTAACTCACCTCCTATTCTGGTTTGATAGCCACTCAAAAAAAACCCTCTTGTTTTCACATTTTTAAAAAAGAACTCTCATGTAGCAGTGATGCTATAATTCTGTAATTCTTATTTTATAATTCTATAAAGTAACAAGATTGAATTTCCTACATAGCTTCCAACTAACTGAAGGTGATTCTAAAAAGGAATTCTAAAAACAATTTGAGAACTGACCACATCCTTGGAATAGCCATAGAGCTTTCTGCGAGGATCACATGTCTGGAAGTTTGGTTATTTTTAAATAGCTGGTTGATGTTTATAGGCATGACTTCTCTCAAATATTTTAGTCATCATTAGAAATGCAGAGTTGTTACGGGATTACGGGATGCGGTATTAAAAACAGAGGCATAAAGTTGGAGAGGTGCCTCAAGTAAATCGAAAATATCTTCAGAAACATGCAAAAACAAAGATTGGTTTTACAATAATTCAAAAGCACAATTCAGAATTTCTATATGTGAAATTTCTCACATTGAATGACTGTACACAGAATCATCTACTCAGAATCAGTTGTTTTCTGTTTTCTCCCCTTTTCTTTCTTCTCCCTTCATGCTGCTCTTCTTTGTCCAATGTCTTGCAGCCTTAATTGAAAAGTTAAGGTATGAAAAGACATCAGCTCTAGATGAAGATTTCAATGTGAAATATGATTTTCTTCTTGTAAACTATTTAAAGATGTTTATTACTATTTAAGTCATTGTGTGAGAGATGAGTGTATGTCATTATTTTGTAAACAAAGATAGAAATACATGATTCCTGTCTTGATGAGCGAAAAATGTTCTTATTTTTCCTGCTTCTCCCAGGTATCATCACAATCAGAAGTTTGTAAATTATCTGTATATATTTTGCTATACAACGTAGTAGAAATTAGATGAGATAATCTCCCCTTTCTAGCTTTTATTAACATAACAGATAGAGAGACAATGCAGCTGGGCTGACATTTAACAGATATCTGTAGTACTTGCCTGTTACAGACAAAAAAGTAATTTTTGGCATTGTGAGAAAACAGAAGTCACTTTTGGGATTTAGGTAAAAATTATAAAATCTTCCAATTATGAAACATGTTATAGAACAGAAATTCAGCAATTATGAACAAAGGGTAAAGACAGAGTGAGAGACCTTAGAGGAAGGAGGTGAGCATGCCACACAGAAGAACCGAAGGAAGGCTTTGAAAAATAAACCTGCCTGGTGAGTAAGGGGGAAAAATTAAAGAAATTGGAAGTGACATGGAGATGGCATAATGGATTTTAAGGAAGAAAAGAAGTGTTTTCCCCATCCTCCCCGCCTACACTCATGCCACCTCTTCAGTGGAAGGAAGTTTTAGAAAATGAATGCTTTGAGAGGCCATTGTGTTAGTGCCTCCAAACATCAAGGTGTGTAATAATGGGAGGAGAAGGTTGAACACTTTACAGTGTGTTGTGTGCCATGCTTATTTTTTCATTTGAGGATCTGCAACTGTTCAACAGTAGACATGGCCTTTGCACTGCAGTCTGTGGCTTTAGAGCCCTGCATTCCTTTCTCCACATCCTGTAACCCCTCAAAAGTTTAATGGCACTGAAGCCAAGGACAAGAAACTGAGGCACAATCATCATCACCATCACCATCATCATCATTTACCATTTTTGTTCCCTACTTTATAGAAAGGCAATCTCCTTGGTGTTAAGGCTACTAAAAGGTAGAAATCACAATACCTTCCTGCAAAGATTTACAGCCTCATTGATGACTTTGTGTTTTGTAAGAATCATCTATAACCAGAACTCTAGTTTATTTGTGGGGAAGGAAAGGTATGGTATTTTCAGAAGAAGTTATCAAACAAACAAAAAAAAAAGATGAACTTGGAAGTAAAGGATATGCAGGTAAAGGTCAGTAACCAATCTGGTCCCATATAAATACTTAGAAATCAATATCTTAAGTGAAAGAAAGAGTCAAATTTTAAGACCTAGACCTTTCCTCATGCTTACCATGGGTGTGCAATTGTATGACTTAGTGGGGAAAGGAGCAAAGAAACTGTGGGGTATTGAGAAGCCATAAATATTGTACAATATGTAAAAGCCAGGATGCAATCCTCATTTCTCAATCCTAGTTGGATTGCAACAGTAGCAGCAACACGTCATACTCAGTAGAGTTAGGTACATTAGCTCCTTTCATCTTCAGAGTAGCTTAATGAAGGAGGTCGTTATTACTCTTCCCCATTTTACAGGCGAAATCTGAGGCACAGAGGTACTAAGGTCACACAGCCAAAAGTGCTAAATGCAAGATTTGCACCTGAAAGATTGTTTTCCAGGGGGCCTCCTTTACTGGGTATACTATAGTACTGGTCTCATTTGTGAAAGACAGGAAAGCCTGAAAAAGAGCCAGGGAAGATCAAGACAGCTATCAAAGGGAAAGGAGGACATCTCATATAATTTAAAAGAAAGGATTAGCTTAATTTGAGGAACAGCTATATAAAATTGTGTGTGTGTGTGTCTGTGTGTGTGTGTATTTTAAATACATGAAAGGGTAATTCTAAGGAGTTACCCTTAGAACTTCCATCTTTCCCATTCTTGCTCCAGAGCAGCAGAGCACAGTTGGGAAAATTTGTAGCATCATATCAGTTCATCTCTTCTACACCTACTAGAATCCATAGCTTTGCCTTCCACCTGCCCACCGACCTGAACCTTTTCCTTTGCCAACTCACCTTTTCTTCCTACTTTTGTGACTCTCCAAACATCCTCCATTCACACTTTTAACCAACCCTATGGTCTTGGAAGATGATCTTTGATCCCCTACTTTGCAGGGAGAGAGAGAGAAAGAGAGAATCATAAATATATATATGTATAACACAATATATCTGCATCTATATATATTCATATTTTAGCCACAAAACCTAAAAAGTAACCTGAATATATGCCAGTTCTCAGTGTTGTCCTTCCAATTAGGGTAAAGAAGCTGAATTCTCTCTCTAGTCTCAGAATCTCACTCTTTCAGTTAGTACTTCTGCTATACCCTTACCTTTCCTGCTGAATCAAATCCTCTTGTGAATGCTTAAACATGATCTCTCACTTGAGAGAAAGAAAAAAAAACCCTCCCATCTCTCCCCCCATCTTTTCTCTCCCTCAGCTCACTCCAGCCAAACTCATCAAAGAATTGCCTATACCTTTACAATTGGTCTAAGTCATACCCTACAATTTTAGGGGCATAAGAAATTCGTTATTTCTCTGTAACTCAATTTTTTTTCCCAATCTCCTATTTTTACAGATGGAAAATTTAAGATGGTAGAATTTGGGTGTAGGAACTGATTTAACAGCCAGGCCTTGTTGGGCCTCCAGCTGTCTTCAGTGGTCATCCATCCACACCGGCCTCTGTTGTGGCATCCATGGACCTGTCCCCGGCCTTACATGCACAGCTTGCTGCATAATGACCCCATATCAGCCTAAGAGGACCCAGCTAGAATGACCACGCTTGAGCTCCTCTCTGGACACAGCAAGGTCACCATTTCACCTCAGCACCGTGGAAGCTATGGCCACACCCATCAGGTTATATCAGGCTGCTTTTTTATTTTATTTTTAAAAATCTTTTTGTATCATTTTTACATTTACTTACATGTATATACACTATTTAGGCTATCTCCTCCCCTCCCCTCTTCAGGTTGCTTTTTAAAAATTATTTTTAATTTTTTTTGTTTTGGTTAATCAGATACATTTTTATACTGTTGGGTCAACAAATCAAAATGATATCTACAACATCCAAGGGGAGTTCCCCTTCGGAATGGAAGTGAGGAGCATAACTGATGAAAAGAATTTTTAAGATAACCAGGTGAAATCTCTTATATTGACCTAAGTGCACACAGAAAATGAAGGGATGTTTATTCAAGAAAATTTGCTGAAATTCAGTAATAATGGTGAGTCTGTGGCATTCAAATCATATCCCACAGTCTCTCCCCTGCTTCCAGATCAGCATGGCAGAAATTCTACTCCTGCAGGGCTCCAGTGACTCACACCTGTAATCCTAGCTACTCAGGAGGCAGAGGATCAGGAGGATTGCAATTCAAAGCCAGCCTGGGGAAATAGTTTGTGAGACACTACTTTGAAAATATTCAACCCAAAACAGGGCTGGGGGCATGGCTCAAGTGGTAGAGTGCCTGCCTAGCAAAGATGAGACCCAGAGTTCAAACCCCAGTACCACCAAAAT